GATATATCTAATTTTGGCACTTCACATACCCAGGAGACAGATTCAAATACACACAAGAACAACAAAATCTTCCTAAACACTAAAACACTGCTTATAAATACAAGAAACCTAAATAAGTACTTCTAATAAATCAGATTGACTTGAAAATTTTAAAACTGGTTTAAAATTATATTACATCTTTCTATATATTTTAGTAAAAATCCCTTTTATGTGAGAATCCCTTAAATGCCTCTTTAAAAAGCAGCAAAAATACAAATTATCAAAACAATTTGGGGTCATTACTACACTTGCACTTAATACAGAAGTATTAGTACTGGGCATTTATTGTATTTCCTCATCTTCTATATATGCTCATGGTATACATCAAGCACCGAAGTCATTTGCCATGGAATTGAAATGACCATCTCATAATGGCTGTGAGATTGAGTTCAGTTTACAGAATTAAGACCTTAGTAAAGGCATAGATTGATTTCATTAGCTAGAGATTTGACCAGAACACAGGAACCTGGGCCTATTTAGTTAGGCAGATCATTGAGATTTTTGTGGGTTTTTTTTTTTTTTCCACAATACCATCTGCTGCTCTGTTAATGGGTCTTTCAGGAAGAAAGAACTGCTTAGCCCATGGACATCTCTTAATTGTCACCCTCTCCCATTCCTTTGTAACATCTCTCATCATATCTTTTCCAATAACTTCTTCCTTAAATTTTTACCATATGATTTTTCCTAATGGGACAAATGCAAATAAAATACAAGTATTTAGTTTCAGTTGGTAAATGTGTTTTCTGTAGACAACACTGGAAATCTATAGATGCCTTTGCTTCCACATACTTCATTTTGACGAATAGTTGAAAAATGTGGGCTTGGACAGAATCATTAAGTATTTTGGGGGTTCTCAGACTGTCACATCCCCAGGAGGCATTTCCCCCTCTGCTCCCAGACATCTTTGGAGGCACTCCATGTTCTGGTAACTACTAATTTTCAATACAATTTTCTTTGCCTACTTCATGACAGGGAATTAATTACTCGTCAAGGAGTTCTTGTTTCCTGGAATATAGAGGCCAAAATCTGGACAGCAGGGGTGCACATCCCATTGTCATGAATGAGAACTGAGATAGACATTGTGATATTTTTCCAGACTGCTTAACAACAGAGCTAACTTTTTTTTGAAGTTCAAGTTCATGTGCATTCATGTAGTTTATTTTACCTTTAGATTCAATTTTATTAGTCTGTTAAAATGGTTTGCTCTAATATAAACTTTCTTATATAGTTTGTTTCCTTTTCTATCATTCTTTCACTGCTCTGAATATGCTATTTTATAAGTTGTCATATCAAATTATATGATTAAATTATGAGAATGTCTAACTTTTCTATGAGTAGATGTGTTTTGCTTAGAATTTATAACCGTTTCAGCTGCAATTGGCTCTTCTCTTTCTTTACATAAGTCATAATTTAACAGTCATTTTTAGATGAGCATTATGTTTTTAAAACCTTTTCCTGTTATACCATATAGTTTGACTTTTAGAGACAAATCTATAAACACACATAGCTTGTATAAATCTCTGTCGTCGTGTGCTAGAATTTCTTTGGGATAGAAGTCTGATAGAAAGTATAATTATTAGGTTTTATATTCTGTTCACTTTTAACTTTATTGGATTTTGATGAAGCACCCTTTAAATGGATTGACAACTTGCACTGTTACTAGGAATATATGAAATTTCCAATTTCCCCTCTTTCTCATCATACTTGATATTATCAGTTGTTTTAAATTTTTGCTACTTCTGATAATGAAAATGGCTCAACTTCATTGTTTTTAATTTCAGAACCTTAATTACAAGTAACATTGAATATCTCTTCATATGTTTGCAACTTAGAGTTCTGTTTAATGAATTTCTTGTTCACTTCCTTGACGATTTCTCTTTTGTATCTTTTTCTAAAAGATGTTATGTATTCTAGATATTTGCTCTTTGTTATATATGTTACTACATATCTTCTCAGGCACTTTACTTTTCACAATGCAGTATTTTTATTATAGAGAAGTTGTATGTTTCTATACAGCCAATTCATCAGTTTTTTTATTATCTTGTTTTTGTGTCATATATGAATCCTTTTCATCTTGCCCTAATATAATAAGGATACCTCTAAGAGTTTTGATTTATTAAGTTTATTTTTTATTTTTATATCTTCAAATCATTTTGGAGTTTAGTTTTATATATGGTATAAAAAGCAAATCTAATTGATTTTTAGAAGCAAACATTCCCAAACCATTTTCCTTTTTTTTTTTTCTAAATTTTAATGCCTCTTTATCTATGCCAAGGTCCATATAAGTTCTAGAGGGCTTCTGAGATATATAGTCTTTCATGGAGTGCTTCTTTTCATCTATCCCTATGTCCAGTATTCTTTTTTTTAAGATAGATAGAGAGAGAGAGAGAATTTTAATATTTATTTTTTAGTTATTGGCGGACACAACATCTTTGTTTGTATGTAGTACAGAGGATCGAACCCAGGCCGCATGCATGCCAGGCAAGCACGCTACCACTTGAGCCACATCCCCAGCCCCAAAAACTTCAGTCAGTACAATGCTAAATAGTATAATTAATCATTTGCAAAGAGCAAATGACAAGAGCTTTTTTTTTAAAAAAAAAAAAAGGGATAATTGGATTGATACATGTTTGTTGGAACAGAGAGAGTTAAAGATGTTGATAAGATTATATTTGAAACTCCTGGCTGTTTAGACTACATTACTTCTTGAGACTCTTCCCAGTTGGTCATTCTGCAGTTTGATCTTTATTTTTATGTTTTTTATAGTATACTCAGTGATAAAATGAAGTAAATATATAGATGGATGAATTTCTCTAAAGGCTTCTCATGCACTTGATTTTTTTAATGAACATAACAGAGGAAAAAAAGAGTATACTTTCCCATTAGGTAATAATTTTATAAGATGTACAATTGTCACTTCAAAAGGCAAAATATCCCAAATTCAATTTTAAAAGACCAATGCTCTGAAAGATATATTTAATCTCTGAATTTTGGTCCTGCTGTACAAAGAGAGCATCATGTTAAAAGTGGACGTGGGTGGTTCTGGGATTCATTTGCATAATTGTTAGTGGTGCAGATCAGGGTACAGGCATCAACTGGGAAATAGTCTTTTTAAAAGTCCTGAAGGGCAAAGGAGTAGCTCAGTGGTAAGCATATGCTTAGCATGCTCAAGGCCCTGGTTTCCATCCCTACAGCCACAGTCATGATCATAATCAAATTATCAAAAGCCTGAATTTGATTAAGCATATCTTGAGTGAACTTCTTCTAAAGACATCAGATGTCCTAAAAATAAACAAAGATGTCCCTAACTGCAGTGGGAAAAAAAAATGAGAGAATTCATCAGTTGATCATGTGTTCAGGGAAAGCTCAAGACTCCATCATGATATAAAGCTAAGAGAATTAAATTTAAAAGCTCAGAAATATTGATACTGTTATTTGGCTCATCTTCCACTTTCAAGAATTCATTTTCTCTAAAAATCAGTGCTTTAAAATTGTATTTTGAGGGGTCTGAAGTAATTATGTACATACATAGACATATTGATTTATTCTTTTCTTTTTATTGGCACCCAACACACACTTTTAAGGATGGTTTACTTCATTTCTCTGCATTCTGCTGGGTTGATGTTGAGTGTGAGATGTCTTTCCAAGCAATCAAGGGAAGTTTGACAACACTGTATGTGTCATTGCACTAGCGTTATGGTCTTTAATGTTGGAAGCAAATTTTTTTCATGTAGGTAAAATAAATCTATATCCCATTTTGTTTTCAACTTGATTTAGATGGAATTTTAATGTGACTAACAAGTTGTGACTCATGTGGTTGTTGGTCTGTAATTAATCATAGGCCTAAGATCCTTTAAAAACCCACTCTTGTGTGAGATTTCCAGCAGTTGTAAGCCTTAGGCTCACCCGTCTTTCTTCTCTACCCTCGAGGTATATCAGGTAATCATTGTCTGACCAGAGGGGCTGAAAAATAAGAACAGCACCTGTGCTCTGTGCTTCTCAAAACATTTAACAAGATGATTTTTCTTCTTACACTGTTTTTGTCTATTTTCTTATAACATCATTTCTTTCTAGAATAGTTGCTGCCTCCCGTTCTCAAATGAACACTATGTTTTTCTTAGGTGTACTCTCTTTGTAAAGCAAAGTGAGAAATGATAATGTAAAAAGTCCCAATAAGACTACCTTACCACCACTGAGCTCATGCTCCATTAAAAATCCCCAAAGCAACCAATGTTGGATTTTATAGACTCCTCTTGAAAATTCAAAGGCAAAACTTTTTAAAGTATTTAGGGAAAGAAAAAAAGAAGGAAGAGTACAACATGAAACAGATGCACTTAGGATGGAGCTGTCATGGAAAGAAAGAACTGATCAGAATAGAACATTTGCAAGCAACAGGGAGAGAGAGCGTCAGGAAGAGCATTATGTGTGCAGAGAGGCTGGGGGTGCAGGAGAATTGAATAGAAGGTTCCCATTGCTACCTCTGGGGAATCTCATGCTGCACCTCATCACACAGCTGGCAGCGAGTGAGAATAAGAGGAAACCATGCAGCCGCCTGGGCTGTCAAGAAAGATAAGGAAGTGGAAAGAACGAAGACAACAAAAGGCTAGAACCTAAAATTAGGCAGATTAAGAGGAGTGGAGGGGGTTCTTAAAATGTCATAGAAGTACAATAAGGTGAATAAAGTACAATTTACTACTGAAAAGATGTCACTGGTAAAATTAAATGCAACTAAATATTGCATAGTGATTACTATTGCTATTGCTTACTGCATATTAAGAATCAATACCCTAAGGGCACATACAGTATGTCATCTTCATTTTCTCAGAATTCATGTGATGAGGTGAATCTCTGCCACACCAAGTAGATGTCTGAAGATCTGACTCAATTAAAAATTCTGACACATAAAAACAACTGGGGTTTGAATTCTTTTGCCAAAAGGTTTCACACAATGGTGTTCTTACCTGAGTGTACTCACTTCTCAACCCAGGACATAGAGTACAGCCTGTGATTGGCTCCATCTTCAGGGATGCTTTGCCTGCTTTCCTTTCGGTATGTTAAAGTGAATCTCTGAAGTCATATGTAATATTAAGTCTATAGCAATAAGTAGCCATTACTGGAATTCAATAGAAAGATTATTTAAAATGTTTAAAGATTAGGTCATGAATATCTTATTGCACTACTCTTTTACTATATATGAGTTACTTCTCTCAACCTCAGTTTATTTATCCTTAAAATGAAATAATAATAAGAACAAATTCATATGGTCATTTGAAGATTAACTTCAGACAATAAACATAAAGCATTTATGAGAAGAACTAGGCAGTTTGTTGAACTAGCAATAATTCAAGAAATGATTGCATTTCTTACGTTTAACTTATCAGCTTCTTAGTATACCATTCAATTTCGACAACTTCTGTACAACTAATTCATCAGTGCATAGTAAATAATAGAAGCTGAAATATATATTTTTTTATTGTTGGTCGTTCAAAACATTACACAGTTCTTAATACATCATCTTTCACAGTTTGATTCAAGTGGGTTATGAACTCCCAACTTTACCCCGTATACAGATTGCTGTATCACATCAGTTACCCTTCCATTGATTGACATATTGCTTTTCTAGTGTCTGATGTATTCTGCTGTCTGTCCTATTCTCTACTATCCCCCCTCCCCTCCCCTCCCCTCCCCTTTTCTCTCTCTACCCCTTCTACTGTAAATCATTTCTTCCATTTGTATTATCTTGTCTTACCCCTCCTTTCCTCTTATACATCATTCTGAAATATATTTTTGTCTGAATAAATTAGTACATAGTAAAACAACAGCTCCTGTCCTCAGGATGAATGCAGTCAACATGGAGAGATAGCAAATATAATTAACAATTACCAAAGAATGTACTGTTATAAAATGAGAAATTTGGAACACTGTAAGAGGGACTTATCTTTCTAATAATATGATCAAACAGGTACCCTGAAAATCCCTCTTATAACATCACCTTAAAAATGCATAGCCAAGGTAACAAGAAAATAATGAAGCTCCTCAAAGGCCAAAAAAAGGAGGAAAAATCCTGACTCCAAAGAGAAGACAGCTTTTGTTAATGCCTCATGGTCCAGAGCTTAGAGTACCTATGCACAGGGGAAAGGAGACAGAGCCCCAAAGGGCTAGTGAGAGTATCCCACCAAGTAGAGCAAAAGCTATTTAAGGATAAGTGCTATGATTGAACAGGAAAATGAGGTGGGGGAACCACTTCACAAAGGGAGAGACTAAAGAAAGCAATGTGCCTCTACTTTGACCCTCACTAGAGAGAGGAAAGAAGTTTTCCAAAGAGAAATACAAGCCAGTTCACCAGTGAGTGACTTGGGTTCACTCTGCTGTGTGTTCCTGAAAACCTAAGTACCATACCTGACATAAGCAGAAGAAAATTCTCTCTGAGAGAAAACACTTTACACCAGGACCCCAAGAATTCTCACAGATAAATGCCAGTGAGCATGAGTTGACAATGAATGAAGGTCAATGACAAATGACAATCAGATGATTAAAGATTGTGTCAGAGTATCAAGCAATTTCAGAGCATTAAATAGGCAACTGCAATCTATTTGTAGAAATAAAAGATCATTCCACATATGGATGAGGAAAAAGGGAATGCTTTCCAGGCGTCATATCATATTTGAAAGAATAATTAATTAACCTGTAAAAATTGTAGTGGGTGTGAATGTGTGTATAGTAAACATGAGCATGTTACACACAGCTGAGGTTATCAAGGAAAAGAATGAAAATGTATGAAAGAGGCTAAGTACACATTTAATCAGAATTGTAGAAAGTATGAAGTACATAGAGAAGAGGAAATAGTGCAGAATAGGATTGTTGAGAAATTTGCAAAATTGAAAGACATCAATTAGCCAAGTCAAGCAGTCAAATTTATTCCAAAGTATCTAATGATAACAAGTCCATACAAACTATAAGCAAACTATAGAAATAGAAAATTTTTATGAGAAGCTAGAGAGAAAAGCAGATAACCTAAAAAAGAATGACAATTAGACTGAAAAAAATGACTTCTTAAGACAACAATGGACTACAGAAGACAGTGAAATAATTATTTTAAAGTTCTGAGAGATAAATTACTGACAAGTATAATTGTATGTCTTCCAAGAACAGAGGTAAAACAATTTCATTTTCAGTCATTCCAAAAAGTAAATATCCAAAACCAAAGCTAAAGAAGTATTACCAAGAAACCCTCAAACATGTATTTCCCTAAAAGATGTACCTAAAGAAAAAAGTAAATTATCCTAGAAGGTCTGTCTTATCTGAAAGACAAGAAAGAATGATGAACATAATTTGTAAATATAAGCAAATACATGGGGGGAAAGTGAATTATCATGGTGTTAAAAAAAACTACTAAAAATAATAGCTAATAAATTTTGTGGGCATTATCAAAATAAGAAAAATATCCAAGGAAGAAGTAAAATTTCCTCAAAGGAAGATCTGAAATGCAAGAAAGTATGATGAGCAAAGAAAAGAGTTAACATATAAGTAAATCTAAACATTGATTACAAATGATTGAAAATAATATTTGCATATTAAATAAAACAAGTGAAAAATGGGGCAACAGCATTTCAGTAGTTGTTAGTGCATGTTCAAAGGTCATAATTCAAAGAGAAAGTAAATATATTGATTAAACCTTGTTAAGTTAAATTATGCATATTAGAAATGAGAGTAAACACTAAAATAATAGAATTAAAGAATACAATTCCAAAACTAGTGGACTGGAAAACTCAGAAGACAGAGAAATCTAATTAGCTGAAAAAGAATGACAATGAAAATTTGTACTAAAAATAGCAGAAATGTACCCCTTACCTAATAAGTGAAAATAGACTAAATAGTCAAATAAAAGACAAATATTGGCAAATAATAGATTTTTAAGTAAATATATTATGTTTAAAAGAGCCACGATTAAAAATATAGTTGAACCTTGAAAAACACAGGTTTGAACTGTGCAGTTCTTTTTATGTGTTGATTTTTTTCAAAAAATCAATTTGAAAGCTAAGAAAGTAAAAGTTAGATATGTCTTGAATGCATAAAACATATATAGATAGTAGTTTATTTGATCATATACCAACACTAAATATACATTAATAATCAAAACTTATGCATACACCGACCCTATTTCACATCATTTGCAATTGAGAGAAATGTAAAACAAAGGTAAAGATGCAGTATTAAATCATAACTGCATAGAATTAGCTAGCACATACTACTACTACTGTAATAATTTGGTATCCACATCCTATTGCTATTTAGTAAGCTCAAGTGTTGGGAGTATCCTCTTAAGATAGCCTTTGACTCCAGGTAGATTGCAGTGAAAAGCCATCTCTTGTGTAATTTTCACCATATACAATCCATAGAACATACAAAAGTGTTTTAACTAACTGCTTATGTTATCAGTAAGACTTCTGGTCAACAACAGGATATTGGTAGTAAAGTTTTAGGGGAGCTAAAAGTTATATTAGGTTTTTCAAACGTGTGGGAGATCAGTATACTTCCTAAGTTATTCAAGGGTTGACCATATGACACACTAATATTGGAAATAGAATCTTGAGAAAATATACATGAAGAAAACTAAACAGATGAAAGTTGGTAGACAAAATAATATTTAAGACAAAAAAAGAAATAAAATGAAGCATTAAAAATTGGCAGAACTATAAGAGGAAATTTCAAATCCAATATGCTAAGAAGTAGAGGGTGAGTTTAGGCATCCCAGGCAGTTCACGGAATTTTCTAAGGAAAATTCTTCCATGAAGAATTCTTGTGGGAAGGAGAGGCCAGGTGGAGGGGAGGTTGAGGGTAGGTGACATTAGAAATAGCCACTGCCAGGCACAGCAGGGTATGGATGTGTGGCCTTGGTTGCCCTGTGGGAGGCTGAATGTCCCCCCATCCCCCACTGCTGCTATGTGAATGAGTAGAATGCTCCAAGGTACAAGCATCAAAACCATTCTCCCTCAGTTCTTACTCTTGATATAAACAGCTATGTATTTCAGAAATTATCAGATAGAGATCTTCATGTCTTAGACAAAAGTGAATCGACTTTGGACCACACATCACATAAGCACATCACATTAGAAGACTCTGGAAAGACTGTTGAGCATCAAGATTGACACCAAACATCTGGTCCTTGTAAGAGAACATGTAGCTCTCCTAAGGGAATTCTAGTAGTTGTAATAGAATGAACTCTAACCTAGTATCTACAAAACTTCTGGGTGAGATTATAAACCATTGTTCCCAATTGGAAGAATTTGGGAAATGGAAAAAGTAGAGACAGGCAAATGCTACTGCTGATTTTACTTTTGGGAATTTCAGGAGCAAGTGTGCTTCATGGGATCAAAGGCAGTATTCTAGAATGGATTATTTAATAGATGAGCATAAGTATTTTGAAAAGCAAGTGTCCTTGGGATGTATGAGCTCACCAAGAATAAATCACCCCAGACTTATTTCCCAGTTTGATAGATTTACTAGAACTATAATTATGGTATTATAGTTAAGTATGATTCAGTAAGCAGTTGGCAAAATCGGTCACAAAAGTCTTCAGAAACGGTTCAGTTATTTAGTTGTATATTAACAATATGTATAAATGGTTGGATATGAACATATTTTAAAAGTGTCAATTCATATACTGTAGAGAATTAACAGAATTGAATGAGGATATTTGGATAAAGCACACTCCATACCCAGATAACCCATGATTCCAAAACCCTTTCTTACCTGATTATGTTACCGCTCTTAATCATGGGAAAAAGCTTTAAAAGGGTGACAAATTAAAGTGATTTTAACAAAACACCTGTAACTGAAATTATCTGCTCTACATGACCTTCATTATGGTTATGTAATCCACAGTTATGTAATGAATGCCTTAAAAATAAGTCGTAAAATGTAGCCACTGATGTTAGACTGCAGCACTGATCTAAGATGTATTCCCACTACCTTGTCCAGTTTTTGCCAAAATGAAGAACTACATTAACCTATCCAAAGACTCTAGAGGCTTAATTGTAAAGCAGAATAATGTAATTCCTACAATTAAGCAAGAACATTCTAGAATTCTCTATCTATCTCCCATTCACCTCAGAATCTGGTAGTAATCTAAAAGGCAAACAAGTTTGGATATCCACACATTTGCAAATAAACTTTCAGGAGTTCTCAGTATGGGGGTAATATTATTGCTATGTTAATATCATGATTACTTTATGGTCAAGTTAAAAGAAATTAAACATCATTTTTACTGTTTTTAATGGTTTGTCTTTCTCATTAGATTTATATCCTAATCTCCACATAAGGTTCTACTTTATATGTATACATATATATACACTGTCAAGGAATAACAGAAAATGATCCTCTCCTCTCCCACAAAAAGGAAAGCAATTAACATTTCCTAGGTACTTGCTGTATGGAGGGCACTGTGTTTTGAGTCCCTGTGTTCTTTCATTAAACACAAAGGCTTTCTTCAGAAGATCATAAGTCAAATCCGTCAGCAGCATCCCCTTATGCACATCTGGAAATTTTAAACTCAGTACTACTCTTTCACTTTTAAACTCATACTGCTCTATCTTAGGGAGCCAGGAACATGGATCCTCTATTGCATGACAGGTCTAGTATAGTCTGAGTCCAATCAGGTAAGTTGCAGTGTTGGGACCTGCCAGTCTCTTGACTTTAAATGAAAGCCCTGTGGCAAACACAGGGCTTCCCTCTAGCTGTGAGGAGGAATATTGCTAATTCACACCTGTGATGAAAGTTCACACAGACACCTGTAGCCAACAGCTAGGCCATTGGCTTAACTACAGTGGTCCTCTGGCAGATTTGGAGAATTTGTGCAAATGTATCAAAACTCTAATGTTCTACAACAGGAGGATTTCCTCTACCAATCCTAAGAATTAAGATATCTGAAACTATTATTCAGTGAGAAGCAAAGCTTCTTCAGCTAAAAAGCAATTTGCAGACTGACACACATGCCACAGCAAGTTTGTACTTTGTATAAAACCTGCCTTTACAAAAAAAAAAAAAAGCAATGCATTTGTATTATGGCTTGTCTATATTTTGAAACAGAACATCAATAGAAAATATTTGCTTTCTAAACTTCATTTGCTTTGAATTAAAATATCAGGATTGTTTTTTTTCTGCAAGAAAAAGTACAGTGCCTTTAACAAATTCTATTGGTAATCAATCATGATTGCTGATGAAATACATAATTCAAATGGAACATATGAACACTATATCTGTAAAGTTATAATAGGAAGAATAACCTATGGGCACCCCATGGAAAGAGAGTCTGGTTTTGTTTTTTGTTTTTGTTTTGTTGTTTGGGGGGTTTTACCTATATCATAATTTTTCATATTGAGCAAAATTTTCCATCCTTGTTTATCTCCAAAAAAATGAAAATAAAAGTCTTAAAACAACTCTCTGAGCATAGTGCAATCAGAAGGGGAAAGTAGGGTTAAGTGGAATACAATTAGCCTTTACATGTGAGAGGAGCTGGGAAGCACTGTAGGGCCATCAGAGCACATGGGAATTTGGAGACAGACTTTAAAAATACTGGAGACTCAGCTGCATTGGAGTGAATGAATCAGGCTTCTGTACTTTTTTTTTCTTTCTTAAAGACTAATTCTATACATGTTTTTTCTTTGTAAAAATAAGGCTTAAAAAAGAAAAAAGAGGAGTGACAGAATGTTTCCTCTAGTAAGTGGGCATGTACGGCAATGGACAGGGAGCCTAGCTGTCCTCAGTAGACAGAGTGGGAATCAACAGGAGACTTGAGGAAATGCTTTTGCAAGAAGTCTTGAGAAAATTTTGGCACATATCCTCCCAATCTAATCTGAAATTCAATGCTTTAGGAGAATTAGGTGCATTGTGTGCAATGTGAACATATTAGCATTGTGTTAAACCAAATTCTGTCCTTTTTTTTTTTTTTTGTCTCTAAGTAAACACTGACTTTGTGTCTTGTGAGAAAAATGCTATCCTTTGCCTGTGAATTTGTTCTATTCTTTGGAGGACTTTTTTCTTTGGCAATAATGATAGATTTATAGGTGTTTATCCACACAATTTTGTTACCCAGGTAGACATTTTCAAGAAAGCCCATTAAGGTTAAGTGGGCAATCCAAGATCATTCCTCTATTTAATTAATTTTCTTTAAGCATCTACTATATGCCAAGCATAATGCTTAGCACAGTCAATAAAAGTATCACCTCTACTTTAAGCTCCTATTTACTGAAACTGCATCAAGGAAGCTTAATTTTCCCAGGTCATCACAGAACTCTAACCCAAATCTCCTGTAACTGCATCTTTCCTGTACTTAGGAGATTTTCCTCCTCATCATCTGGTCCTACTCTGGTTAATAAAGCAGTTATTCCCATTCTTCCTGAGTTCCAGTCTTGTATAAGTACTAGGATTGTAAAACACTTTCACATAAGCATTTTAAGTGTTTGGCCTATAAATTGAACCAGAAATAATTTGTTTTAGAACTTTGAAGTATAGGATAACCAAAAATATTCTCAAATACTAAAATTTAAATAATAATTCCGCCAAAAAAATGCATCTTTTCTGAGTCCTTTCAACATTTATCATCTCTATTGACTCAAATGAGTCAAAGCAGTTATTCTGACACTTGAAATTATACTTTTAACGTTTCCCAGGAAACATCATTTCTATTCACCCCTACCCTCACATGGAACCAGCTAAAGAGGAAATACAAGGAAACAGCCATAAATGTGCACAGTTCCCTACTGCCTTGATGTTTTCCCACTTCTCCACTGCCATTCAACCCAACAGCTGTCACTGTTGCCTCTGTAGGAATTTGGTTCTTGTATGGCAACTTGAGTGGCATTGGGCTTTGATAGAAGGTCCTAACATCTTTGTTAGAAATGATGTGCAAATTTTTCCAAGAGGTTTTGTCTCAACTTTTTATTCTGAAAGCAAGAAAAGCTGCAAAACAAATTTCTTTGTAAATCAAATATTAAAAGGTGATAAAAATGAATTGCCCTCTAGCTTTTGTCTTGGTTGACAATTCTTCTGGGATAAGGTTGATTATTTTTATAATTCCTCATGGAGACTTGTCAGATCTGTCTGATTAAATGAAAACTAGCATAAGGAGATTGTATAATGGATGTTATTCATATAAAATCATTCCTTTTAGGGACTAACGAAAATTTGTCTTACATAAAGGGAAATTCAAGCACTTTACCTTGGTTGTCTTATTTTGATTACTGAAAATCATATTTTGAACCCTGTAGGATAATTCTCATATTTTAGAGGAGCAATTACTGTCAGAGAGAATAAGTAACATGGTCACACATTTATTAGGTGGTCAGATAGAAATCTGAATTAGATCTTCCCCAGAAACTAAAGCCCAAACTCTAAAACAATAGGACACAGACTCCTAGTTATCAATGGTTCTCTTCATAATGGGGAAGGACACACTACACCTCTAACTTGGGGATGCCCAAGAGAAAACACACACACACACACACACACACACACACACACACACACAATTTCATGTTTCAATTCAGAAGATTTAAGGTGGAGCCCTGGAGGCTACATTTTTTAAAAGTACCACGGAGGATGGTAGAATGTGATGGACATCATTGTCCAAAGTACATGTATGAAGACACGAATTGGGTGTCAACCTACTTTATATACAGACATATGAAAAATGTGGTATATATGTGTAAAAAGACTTGTAATGCAAAAAAAAGTACATGTATAAAGACAAAAAAAATAGTTCCACAGGTGATTCAGATGCTTATGCCTAGTTGAGAACCCCCATGTACATAATATGCTACTTTAATTTAAGCTGGATAGTGAAATGACAAAAATGCCTATCATAAATTCTGGCTAACAACTCAGAAGCATGCCAGTGAGAATTTCATATATATTTTTTGATTACTGAAAATCATATTTTGAATCCTGTAGGATAATTCCCATATTTTAGAGGAGCAATTACTGTCAGAGAGAATAAGTAACATGGTCACACATTTATTAGGTGTGTGTTACACACACACACACACACACACACACACACATATATATATATATATATATATGGAGAACCAGGGTTAGGAGGAAGAGTCATTGAGACTTTGAATTATTCATTACCATGTATTGTATAATGAACTCAATTTACATGTTATTCAACCACGGAGGATATTTTTATAACCTATCCATAATAGGCCTAATGCATATATTTAATGTTCAGCTATGTGCACCGATACTGATAGTCTTTTTAAAGAATGGAAGAAGGACTTCAGAGGCTTTTCTTTTACATCCAGGTCAGAAAGTTTTTATATCTACTCCAGAAAACCTAGTTACTTAGTTGATGAGGTCTTTAGTAGGTGGTTTGGACTCATACTAAACTCTAGAGATTTGGCATTACAGGAAATTTTTTTGTTTTAAAACAATGTGCGTAAGTTATAAAACCTCGTAGGTTCAATATAGACAATGGATTGAGTTACAAAAGTCCATTTCTTAGCAAGTCTAGTCAATTATAACAAGATTATTTATACATTATAAATATAGTACCAACGAGAGTTTGTAAAGGGGTCATAATGTAATTGCAATGTCATATATTTGCCCTGAAAAAATACTTAATAACAATACTTCCATAATTATTAAACAATACTTAAACTGGATCTTTGAACTGGGTACCTATACTTTGTATAAGTGCATTATTAGAAACAACAGTTTGAAAGCAAGTTTTAACTTTGTGTACTTCCATAAAGGCACTTAATATTAATTATTTACTTATAAGCTACATTGAAGATGATTTTTATTAAATATTTAGAGGAAGATTATTGAAGTGAATCACAAAGAAATACTTAAGTATTTTTAAAAATCTTTTAAATGTTGTGGTTCTCAAACCTTAACTAATAAGCAACTGAGGAACCTGTGTTACATGCAGATTTCAGGCTGTAATTGCAGCGATTTGAACTCAAGACGGTCAGAAATCCAGGAGTCTATATTCTTTACAAATAAATATACA